GTTAATTTTAAAAAGGGCAAGGATACAATATCATTAGATAGATTGGGGTTAAAAAGTTATGAGCTTGTATTTTAAATAGTAAAAAATTACTTCACTGGGGTTTTTTCAGGGAAGGGATCACATATGAAGATGCAAAGATGAAGACAACTTTGTTTTCCCTCATAATGAATGCTACCCCTAAGTGTGTGTACTAGTACAATCACAATATTGTCTTAGGATAAATTTAAGAGTTTGAAATACATTATTAAAATGGGATTTAGGATTTTTTCCTCTTATAACTCAATTTCTACTTAGACGTTCACTTCATAGAAAATGGCAGCAACCTTTAACAGCATACAATTACCTATTAGATTGCAAGTCCTGCTTGCTGAGAAGAAAATAAAGGATACATGCAATATACAGAGGGGAAATGTTGCTTATGATGGGCGGAATGCACAGTAAACAAGAGTGACTGTGGAGTTGCTGCTGTTGGAGGCCTATATGGCTGGAGTTGATGCAGTGTGAAAACAGAAGACATTAGATCTTTTAAGTTACTCTCAGCAGGCTGCAAGGGCATTTTAAGAAGCCCACACACCACTACCTCTTCTTTCAGTGGAAGCAATGTGCCAGGAATTCTTTCAAAAGTTTCTGGGAATAGTAGACCCTATCTAATGTCCCAGTTTTTACATTCCAGGTAGTTGTCAGATTTTTTTAGACGCTGGTATTTTGAAGCAGCACAATGACTAGGGGAAATAGTACTTTATTCATAAATAGGAATATTTTAAATAAATATAAAATATAAATAGCAATATTTTTAAAAGGCAGAATTGTATCACTGGATGGTATTTAACCAAGGGAAACAGAACAGGATGTATTATCTCAGTTTCATTGAGTCTAGTCTAATTGCCATTTGCAACCTAGAAGACAGCTTTTCTAACATGACCATGAGGGAGACATATGGCTTCTTGTGGGACCTGTGTCCAAGATATGCCAAAACCCTGTAACACTGAAAGACCCTGTAACACTAGCCCTTGCAAATGCTTCTTGTAGGAGAGGCAATCTATAACACAGGTCTGTATAACAATGTGACCATGGCAGCATCAAGATCAGCACAAGCTTGCCCCCCAAATAGTTGTGTGAGTCTTTAGTCAATTGCACAATTACTATCAAAATAACAGCACTATCAACACATCACCCAGTTAGCTGAAACTCAACCTCTTTAAGTACACAGAACTAATCACAACCTTCATTACAGAATAAATTTTCTACTGGAAGGAAAAGCATCACTTTGACACAGTGAGATTCTGTGTTTCCCCAAAGTGCCTTTTGTTCAGCTACTCACCTTGCCTAATTTTAGATAGAGTGAACTGACTTAACTTCATGCAATTTTCAGCTTTTGTACAAAGTGCTTAAGCCTTCTCCAGCCCTTGGTATAGGCTGAGAGAAAGTTCATTTGCTCACTGGGAATTTGTGTGCTTTCTTCTGAAAATGCTGATTATGGCCACACACAGAATACTCACATAGTTGGATGTGCTGAATCTATTCCAGTATATCATACCTTATGATCCTAGCTGATAAACAGGTTCCATTGAAAAAGTATCATGAACATGCTAAAAGAAAGGGAAGGTGAGATGACCTTCTCAGGCCATGACAGCAGATGTAGGGAAACAAATCTGCATGAATTTCAATTAATTAACTCATTCATGACACTGAAAAAAAAAAAGTAGTATTGAAAGTACCTGAAGAGACTTCAATTTATAATAAATTAAATTGTTCTATATTAGTATGCTAGGATCTTGCCATATGTTTTAAAATAACATTACCTTGTTTATGTGAATAATTGCAGTGTGCTAACATAGGTACACTTACCCAAATTTCACAGAATTGTAAATCAATAGTCTAATTTCACTAGGTTTACCCACTTTTTCCACTAGATAAAGCCCTTTATCATCCACTATGGAATTATGACCATAGCTCTTCATTTTTTGTAATTTAAAGGGTAACTCCTCTCATATGATTTTTAACAGCCTTGTGAAGTTGAGCTCATCTAATGCCCAGCCCTTGCTTTCTCAACACCTTGCCCCACCAGTTTAAGATGCGATCAAATTTTATGTGGCTCTCTATGGACAGGAAGCATAGTTTGTATTCATGTAGTTTGATTTGAGCTAAGAGCATAACCACATTTAATTCACTTCATGTTGAATGATCTAAACCTTTGTGATTTTGGAGCCAGGTAAAAGTGCTATAAGTATTAGCAAGTTTTATATTTTTGCTTTAAAATGCCTGGGCTACATGAGCTGACACTATGCATCTGCCTTGCTTAGGTAGTATTTGCCAATGAATGACCCTCATTCTCAACATTTGTGCCCTAGATAATTTGGCAAGTCATTGTATTTGTATCTTTGGAGTATGTTCTAGTTTTCCTAGACTCTTTTCTGAATAGGGTATGTACTATCAGGAGAACTGTTATTTCTTCATAAACAATGCCCATGTTGATGACTGTCTTTTTTATAAAATTCACCTGGTTTAAAGTCAAGCAGTATATTATATAAATGTGAAAAGAAAATGCTTATTTTAGGGCCTTAAAAATGCACAGCTGAAGATCTTCTTCCTCTCTTAAATGCAAATGCTATTAAAATCACTTTTTCAGCAATTAAAGAGCATTAGGTAGACTTTCAGTAAAGATAAATTTACCTCAAAAATGTATTCATCACTCTCTTCAAAAGTAAAGCCCCAAAGCAAAATACACATAGTTGCCAGCAGCTTTAGTCAAAGCTAAAATTAGCCATGCTGATTAAGTGGATTTTGCATAACCTTAACTATTAATCCCTTATATTGGTCTTCTTTTCTTTGAAAAATTTTTAAGTACCAATAACCTAAAGGTTTATAGAGTCACTTTTTAATACTACTTAGTTAAGATTTAATCCTTTGTATAACAGTTAACATTGGCACCATCTTTTAATAGCGCAAGATTTCTAACATGCACTTGCTGAACAAAACAGACATTTTCCATTCCAGGGGAATAATGGCAATACACATAGAGCAGAAGAACTTTGATTTAAAGAATTAAAAAATGTACTTACAAGAGATAAAATGGACCTAACAGTAAATTAATCTCTCAGTTTTCACCCTTTCCTTAAATAGTATTCTTTTCATGCTTAATTCTTTCCCTTTCCATTTTCTTTAACTCAGCTCCTTATTTTCTAACAGCTAGATTTCCTCTCATCTTACCTGGCTAAGCAAGACATAAATTACATTTTCTAGAAGACCAATAATGAATTTTACTCCAAATCTTTTTTTGAAAACAACCCCTGTTTTATAGACACTTCTGAACAGGTAAGATAGTATTGAGTCCTGGATCATTCTGTTGCTGTCAGAGGGAAATTAAATTATTGCCTTTAAAAGTTGAAATTGTTCCTATTTTCAGAGTAGGTCAAGGAGGAGTAAAGTAAGTTGTTCTTCATAAAGTGGTGTGCCTTTGCAAACTTTGACTCTTGTTTGGGGCTGGTCCTGCTAACAGAGGGTGCTTTCTCTGGAGATTTATCGCACACCTTTTGTTTCAGATTTGCTCCAGGCTAAGAGTGCAAATATCACTAGATACCCAAGCTCAGCCGACACCTGGAAACTCATTAGTTTACCATAACTCCTTTGTGTGCCCCAGCCCTGCCTCAGCATTTCATAGCATTTGCTCATCTGCCTGTTTTTTTACAAAAAGTAATCAACCTTCACATTTTGTAATGATTTGCATTTTCTGATATTTATTTTTTTAGCACCAATAATTTGAAAAGAGTTTGGCAGCACCAGCTATCCTGCTTCCTTCACTTTAGAAATAATTAACAGAAATTAAAAAAAAAAAGCTATTATAGGTAGCTGGTAATTATAGCTCACACTTCTGTTTTGCCAGTCAAACAATTAAAAAATCAATTATAAGGCAAATTAATTGAGTAGTAAATATTTTTGCTCTTTTATATCAGCTAAGGTTTTTTTTCATCTGTTTGAGCATTAATTCATTAATTGTTTTAAACATCACTTCATCAGCAGTAAACTCAAAGCAGCTGACAGTTGTGTTTTGTTTATATATTTGATCAATACAACCAGCTGAAAACTTTCAGATCATTGATCATGTCATGTTCTGCTGAGTAATTTGCCAGTAGAGCTGGGTGCTTGGAAACTGATGACTTAGTGGTTCAAAGGTCATTCCAGCAAGAAACTGAAGCTGGCTAAAACAGACTTTCTTTTGTTCTTTGTCTTACTCCTTTGCAGGTGGTCTTCTGGATGATCTGTGATCTCATCTCTAATCTTCATGATACTTTTCCTCTTTTTTTTAAGACAGATTTTAAGACATCTTGTTGTTCCATTGATCACCTTAGCCTGCTGTCTGTACTGCATTGTAAAAGTACTAGCAACGGTAGTACTCCAGATGGAGAGCACAGTGACATTTACAGGGTTTTTAAATGTTTTCTTTCTGTCCTTTTCAGCTCTTTATGACTTTGTCAAACTTTTTTCACCTTCACAGCTGAAATTTCTCAGATATGATCATTGACCAGAGGTCAATTTTTTCCTAGTTCATTTGTTAAGTTTGAGGGGAAAAAAATATCATCCAGTTTTGTGATCTTAAGTCATATAACAGTTTGCTTTTCCTTACATGAAGGGTTGTGGACTTTTTCTTATAGAGCATTAAGCAAGACTCGTACCTGAAGACTTTGAAATTTATCTTAGAGAACACATAGTATAGATATGTTCTTTTCAGTGCTTTTTTACCAATCTGTTCCTATTTGATAGATTTATACAGATTATCCAAACAGTATTTCTTTTTAACTGGTATGGACCTAGTTTAGGAAGAAACAGACCTTTAAGAAACAAGTGAAATTATGAAATTGCCAATGTTGGGAAAATTTAATTATTTCCTCCCCTCTTTATGTGGTTCCTGTCTCAGAATAATACATGTAATACATGTAATACAAGAATAATACATGTAAGCATTTATCTCACTAAATGATGCAGTGACATTGCATGGGAGACAAGCAGCCAGGAGGGATTGCACCATGGTCAAGCAATCACAGAGACACAGTGCCTGCAGAAGTGCCTGTCTGAGCAGAATGAATGAACTCATGGGAGGTTACAAGTGTCAAATGCTGTGAGTGGGATAACGGCATTACTCCATAGAATTCCCTGAATTATGGTCATACAGCCAAACATTTTTTTCCCTTTTTCAGCCTTAAACAAAAATTTCCATAATTTTCTTAGTGATGAATAACTATGCAAACATATTATTCAAGCTCTAATGATTGTTAAGAGGATAAATTTTAAAGTGCTTTAAGTGGGCAGTGACAGAGATAAGCCACAATGGAAAAGCATAGCAGTTTTTTGATGCTGTCCAATGGAAAAAGTATTGTTTTCAGAGAGATTGTCACTTCTGTTAAAATTCTAGTCCCATAGTCAAATACTTGTCCATCCTCTTAGTAGATTATGATCACAACTCTCCTCAAAAGCAGCTATAATTATGTCTTTTATAAAATCACCTCTTTCCTTTACAGATTCACAGGAGAAATTTGAATGCTGAAAAGGTAATCTTTAACATCATTACAGAGTTCCTATTTTAGTTGGTTGTGTACAGAACACATGCCTTTAATACTTCCTTCTCCACAGGAGCTGAGATTCTATAGTATTGGCTTTAATAGGCAATTATTCAGCTTTTAAACTTTTAAGATGCAAAATAAGTTTAGTAGAGGAAACTTGCTATTGCAAAGTTATTGGTGAAAAGGCATATTTCAGCATCCACTGAGCAGTACGTGCAGGTTACTGCAGAGAAGGGCAGAGCTGAGATACATGGGTTTGGGTTTCAGGTCTTGTTTCTGACATTTTAACATTTCAGTTACAAAGCTCCCTTAATGTCAGTTTTTAAAGGAACATACGAAGTTCCAAATTCTGTTGTGCATTCCAACAGACATGCTTGCCAGAACAAAACAGAACTGTATATTTGCTTTCAGTATATACCTCAATATGAAAGACAATTAAAGCTAACAAAAAATTTCTACTTTCCATTTTCATATATATTGTAAAGTACACATCTATCTGCATGTTTCCTTAGCTTTTCAGAATTGGGCTTGGTGCCAGATAGTTCTGCAGTAGACGTGAGAAAGTACAGATAGGTATTGTCCTCTGGAAAGGACGTGTGCTTGATGAAAGATCTAAATGTTTTCCTAATCCCGATATTGATCTTTTGTGTGGCTTTTGATAAATAATTTCTCTTTTCATTAGGGGCTCTTTTCTCTTGTGTAGTGTCTTTCCAGGGACAGAGAAAGATCTGTGCATAACAGCACTATAATCCATTATAATATTTTTGCACTGAATGCTTCCAGTATTGTGGCAGTAAACAATTGGTATGAACATACTTTTTAAAAATTATTTTATATTTTCTTTTTTATTTTTAATTTCAATTTTTTTTTAATTCTTTCTCTTTTGGCAGTGTTATTCCCAATGTATTGTGTTCTTGTTCCATTGTTTCATCTACAGACACCTTTCATTTGAAAACTCAGCATATTCAAAGGAAAAAAACTGAAAAAGTTTTAATTTAGTATCACCTTTTTAAAGAGAGAACAAACCAGTGCCAAGAGAAATTAAAGGCTATAAAGTATTCCAGGGTAATAAACAGGTATAGTTCCTTTTCTTAAGGAAGTTCCTTAAGAAAGTGTTCCCAGCTTGCTCTGTTATGCTGACATTCTCACTGAACTATTGTAGGAGAAAAAAGATATTGTTCATTTTAAATCTTCTCTTTGAATAGCAAAGGTATGGTTAAGGCACTAATCCAGCTGGATAACAATTGCAGGCTCTATAACCAATAGCACATGACACAAAGCATGATGAACGATACATATTTTGGATCTGTTCTAAGCATCAATTCAGGGGTGTATTCTGTAACTGCAGGAAAAATACCAAACCTGCAGCCTTCAGAAAACCCTTAGAAATCTTATATATATAGCATGAGGACTTGGCTAATCTTGAATAGGAGAAGGAGAGTGAAATAAAAAATTCAAATCCCTTTTGCAATACCTATTAACATCCCATGACATAGTGGAAGTTCAGCCATTTTGAAAGAAGACTGCAAAAGAACCTTTAAATATGTCACTTACAGTCATATGAATAAACATATTTTGATGGTCAAAAATTTTTGATAACATTCATATATTATTTTCTCCTCTTTTTATTTTATTCCAATTAATAAAATATTTTTATCTAACTGTCAACGACTAATGGAAGGCTTTTGTTGATTTTGTTTGTAGAGCCTGTGTCCATATAGAGTCCAAAATGGAAACCTTTGGGTATTCTACATGTGGAAATGTGATAGAATTTGCATTTTTTTCCACTGTACCATGGGGAATTCTGGACTAAGATGTTTAAAAGAAGGAAAACAGTGAGTATGGAAAGATGAGATCTAAAAATAAATTACTATGACTTTTTTTTTTCCCTTACTGTTGAAAATTGAGATTTAGAACCAAGATATTTTGTCAGAATGCAGCATTATAGTACAATTTTATCAAAAAGATACCCAGGATGCCAAATAGAAGGAAAAAAAAAAAGGAATTTTTGGGTTCAGCACAGGATAACCAATATGTGCTGCTTAAGACACTCATATGGTTATTGAGAAATGCATATTCTAACCTGTCTCAGGCTAAACAAGAACTGGACCCTTGCAAAAAATTAATTCAAGATGTCCAATAACCATTGCATCTATTCTTCATTGTTTCAGGTCACAAGTCGGGCTGCCTTTTTCTTTTCAGTCTCAAATTTATATCAGAGAGATATTTAGATTAGAGGCGTCTAAAGCATGAAATTTCTGCAGAAAGGAAACAAGCTAGATTGAGCACTCTAGGCAGTGACTGAGGAGTGAATAAAAATTGGGACACCAATGACACATTCTTGTCAGCTTACCTCTCTTGCCATATCTATTAAGCTTCCATAAATTTGGACCCAATGTAAGCCTTGGAGAAAAAATACACATTATATAAGCTCAGTGGAGAACTTGTTAATGTTTGGTTGTATGATCTGCCAAAGAATCTGTCTGCTTTGAGAGTGCTTCAGCCCCGATCATCTTTTCATTAACTGGATTGGACTGGTCCTATAGAGCTGGAGCAGGCTCCATGCTAGAATTTGGAGGCCCAACAAAAGTTCCCCTGTTATTTTCCTGCTACTGCCAAAGGCTGTGTTTTTAAAAAATGCAAAAGACAAACCAAAACAAAACTGAGGCTAAGATCATGCATACAGGCCAGAAACAGAGTATAAAATAATTGGTAATCAGTAGAGCACAGTCTGCTGGAGAACTTGGAAATCAACATAAAGTTACTCACTCTTTGGCAAGGAAACAAATAATTGCAACCAATGGCAAGGTCCACATCAGAGGTAACAGCTTCCGATTGCTACAACTTATTGCCTTGGCTCAGACTGAGAGGAGAGTGATGTGGATAGTAGCAACACCACTGGACAGATTTTACATATATTTAATAAGCTGCTATATGTATTCTGCTAAATAGTGGTTATTCACAACATCTGCTTTTCAAAGCTGGAAAATAAAAGGTTGCCTTTGTTCCCCTGCCCCAATCTATACCACAGATCATGATGTAGTCTTTTAATTACATAAACACAAGTTTTTCTACATGCTTCCATGGGAATGTGAGAAACCAGAAACATTTCTAAGAGCTCAGTATGGATGTGTGCCAAATGTCCACATTCTCAGAGCTCTCTAACTGTTGTCTCCTATGGGATATTCATCACTCAGCACACAAAAACTTTCATAAAACAACCATTACTAGTTCTATTCACCAGTTTAGTCAGAAGAGAAATTAAGAGAAAATCAAAGGAGCTTGATATAAAAATAAACTTGCTTACCTATAAATTCCACTTTTTTGTTGTCTGATTATAAAATTCTGGAGTATTTTGTCAGAAGGGCAAAAATGTGTTTGATTTCATCTACACAATATCATACATAGTTCAGTTGATTCTGTGCCAAGCTAAAATATAAGGGAACACAAAAAGAGCTTAAATTGAATGAGACACTGTATTTATCCATGTGACTTCTTTATTAAGGAAACAACTTCTGTGATGGTAAAAAGGTCAGTGCTGCCTCCTGATGCCTACTGTATTCTTTAATATTTTTTTTAATTTATGTGTTGGAATCAATAAATAGCTATATTAAACAGTTGTGTTGATTTATTTTTTTTTTCATTATATCATATTAGATTTGCTTCAGAGTCAGGTACATATTTTTTGGTGTTTCCAGAATAACATAATTCTGAGATATCACTGCACACCTGTAATACTGTTTGGAAGACTATATATATGTGTGTGCATGTATGCATAAAACTCAAGTTGTTTGAAAAATAAACCGTGTTTACTGAATTTCAAATAGGTATTTGAATTAATTTGTCAAATTAAAGTGTTGTTGTAGATCTCCTTTTCCAGGTGCAAGCAATAGTGCTCTCACTACTATTTTGCAGGATGAAAAGGAGTACAATGGGCAGTATTTCTTGAAAAAAGGAAAAATATTTATAGGATAATGGGGTAGCACAAATCTTTTGAAAAGTAATATCAACTACTGTCTCTCATAGTGTGCTGCCATTTAAGAGTAGATGGTTCTATATTGCTGATACAGGGAAGTGAATTTTATATCAATGCACTAATATAATAGGATTTCTTAATCCTGACTGGTGGAAGAAGCTTTCCAAGCATATTTGCTAAAGTCATAGTCAATGTCATTAGTCATAGTCAGCAACTTGAGAAACAGAATTTCTGGAAGAAAAAGAAAATGAAAGATACAGTTTTAGTGCTGTATAAACTAGTTGCACTATTTCAAGCTAATTCTGAAAACAAATACAGGACTTTATACATATTATAAATGTTGAAATAATTTTATTTTGTCAATATATCCCCAATATAAAATTGGTCTGTGCAGAATCCTTTCCTGTCTTATTCTATGATTGTGTTAAAATAACGAAAAACTATTAAAAAACCCCAAACACAAATTAAAAAAAAAAAAAAAAAAAAAAAAAAAACCCGCCACAACCCAAACCTTGGGAAAAAAAAAAAGGCAGTAAAAATTAAGTTAAGAAATTTTAGGTTATTAGTGCTTTGGGGAGAAAACCTGCATATAAATGAAAAAAAAAGTTTCTGTGATAATTCAGTTTTAAAAATAGGTTTATCTGATGGTGTTGATTTTTGCTTTTTTGTGGTCTCATGGATGTTGCTTAAAGCATTTCCCTTAGTACCACCATGTGTAATGTCTCCTTCAAGTATAGTCTCTGGTTCCTGGTACTTGTACCAGCCTTTCAAGCTTTCCATCATGTTGCAGCACCAATATTTATTCAGCCATGTATTCTCATCAGTGTCAGTTTTCTTTCAGATTTTTTTGGCTCTGGTTAGTGATCTCCACAGATATTTTGCCTCTAAGTATTCAAACATTTCAGCAATATTTTCACCCCCAACCATGTGATGTCAGCACACATCTTGATGGCACGTGGGGTCAGAAGAAATTAAAAACATTCCTGTTCTAGGAAATATGTCAATTGTGAATATTAGAATGGGAGAATAATATAGACATCATATATGTAATCTTTCAGCAATAAAAAGCAAGTGATACAACAAGTTTCTAAGGGTAAATATGATTTACCTGTTAAGAAAGGAGACATTTCAGAAACAGCAAAAGAAAAACATTTTCAAATGAGCTAAATTTGACTTCTTGTTTTAGTCACTTAAATTATGTTCCAGAGGATAAGTTGCTGGGATTTCAAAGTGTACCTACTGTAAAAAATGAGGCATACTGATTTTAAACCAGAACTAAGTATTTCCAGTGAAGATTCTATGTACATGATTTTGAAGATTTAGCTGTGTAGCAAAAGAGCCTACATATTCATGGCATAAACAGGGAAATTGTGCCACTTTTAAACATGTGAAAGACTTTGCCTTCTATTTTAAAAATGTTGACAAGTTTAGCTAAAATCATTCAGATGTCTCTTTATAACCAGTTGCAGTCAAACTGATAAGTTGCAACAGACATTTTCCTGGCAAAATAATTTTAAGCATATTTGCCAGTAGGTTGCTCTGCAAACATCTTCAAACTCTCAGTTTCTGGAAGTTTTAGACAGCTCTCCCTGAAACACCAGTGAAAGGGTGCTGTCTCAGAGTGCATTCAAAAAGGGACCTGAGTGCCTGCCTATACTTCTGGTATTTTTTGTGGTTTTTTTCCATATATCTATCTCTTCCCTTTTTTTTTATGCTGATAATTTTGCATTATGGCTCATTGTTTTTAAGCTTGTTCACCTAAAAGATGAGTGATCCGGAAGTATGGAACAGCAGGACTTGCCAAGATATAAATGAATAGAGCAGCGCTTTACATGAAAGGGCTTCTGCCAGGTTTTCTACTGAAGTGTGCAAATTTAAAGCTGTGGATCAACGCCCTGCTCTGCGCACCCAGTGTTGTGTCACAATGCAGTGACAGTGACAAACTCCTCAGTAGACAAGCCCCTTTAAAATACTGTATGGAGGCACTCAGCAATAAAGGACAATTGCCTTCAACATCCAAGAACTATCAAGGACTTCTGAAGACTGATGACCAATATGGAATATCACTTTACAAACTTACTATAGATCCTAATGCTGTTGCCATGCTGAATTGCTGAGACTATTTCTGGTTCAGGGATGTAACACTAGTTTGGACCTCCACTATAGTTTGTGCAGAGTTATTCCCAGCAAGATTAATTTGTGTGAGCTCTCCAAATGCAGCTAACTTGCTCACAACTAGCTTTAGGTCTCCAAGATATTGTGCCCATATATCTGCTGTTGGAAAGCTCATAGCAGCTGGCAATCCATTGGCAGTTTCCTCAGGAATATAAAAAAATTCAAGCTGCATGATTCAATTACCAGAAGCAGTGGGGGAATATTTTATTTCTTCAGTCTTGGGCTTTTTTATGTTTTTTAGCCAGTGGCTCACTGTTATGTCATTCACTTTATGAAGGACAACACTGTTATATGAATGGCTTACTTTTAAGTTTTCTTCCAGGAAAAAGTTCCATAGCTGTAAAATCTCTAGCCATCTGACTGATAGTCTGTTTTTCCAGTGCCCGTGCTGTACACAGAAGAGAACTGATGGTTGTAGAGTTGCTTTAAGATGAGTCATTACTTGTTTACTTATTCTTTAATAGTTTTGCCCAAATTTCAGTTTATATCGACTGCTCAGTTAGAGATTCCTGCCTAGTTTTCCTGATGTTCTTAATTTTAAATCACTTCCAGCATTACAGCTCTCCAGATTTTTACCTGTTACCATCTGTTGATTTTTTACCAAAATATTATTCATCTGTTTTCTAAATGGAATCTCATTGCAATATTCTGCTGGTGTTTCTAATCTTCCCAAGAAGCCTTGAATTATTTCTCTATTTTCAGCACTGTGCTCAGCTCCTCCTAGTTTAATAGATCTGCAGATTTCATTAATGTACCATTTACTCCCTCTTCTAGCTCATTATTGAAGCTATTAAATGTGATCAGAAGTAATACTAATCTTTGTGTACTGCACTAAATGCCTCCCTTCAAAGTTATTGTTTATCATTACCCTTCATTGTTTGTCATCACCCTTCATTTCAGTCAACATGATAGTTCATTTCCAATTTGATTTAAGTTTGGGAACAGAATTTTGACACATTGGTGATGGGAGAAGAAAGGCTAATCAACAATCCAGGAGAGGCTTCTAATTAAGGCTGAATTTAGAGAATCAAAGTTATGAGTTCTCTGCTGCAGCCACAGTGTAAGACAGTATGGTGTCTCCATAACTTAATTGAAAACACCTTAAGCCCTGTGAGAAAATATCTTAAGGAATACAGTATATGGCTAAAAGTCAGACATGTGACAGTATATCTTCTGCTCTCTATTCATTAATTTTGTATTACTATTTAAAAAATCAAGATTGTCTGGCAGACTTTGAAGTGTTTTAGTAAATTTGTTTCTCAATAGAGCAGTTTCTCTGCCCTATTATGTTGCCAGAGAGAAGCTAAATTTATGAGTAGCAATTACAAAGAGAACACACAGAAGATATGAACTTCTATCTTTGTCTGTTTCAGAGACATAGAGTCTTGCTTCCAAAGAAGGTATATCTTTCTTCTGGTCCATGCATAGTGTAAAATTTCAGGAACAAGATTTTTATTTTCACCACCCCTTCAAATTTAATTTCCAAACTCCATAGTAAATACTATTAATAATAGGAATAGGATATTTATAATAGGAAATATCAATTCAGTCAGGAAAATCTCCTTTTGACAAGATGCAATTGTTCTGATAATAAGCTCCACATGACTTGAAGTCCAACAACAAAATCTATTCTTCTTTCACCCTAATAAAATATCTTGCATTTTGTTAAGTTAGTTGCTAACCTGTATTATTAGGGCTGTTTACTCCTGCTTTTTATTGACTTGACAAAGAAGTCTTTGTCCAAATACATTTGGATGTTACTTGTTTTTTCTTATGCATACTTGGTTTGAGCTCATTCAGTTGTATATGCACCAGTGCAAATGCAAAGACCTTAAATATAGTCCAGAAAAATATTGCCTCTAGATAGAGCTTAATAGTTCTCTTTAAGTTTTATATCTATATGGATTGGAAAAAAGCATGGGACAGTGAAATACTGAAATTCATCTTGGGGCCAGATTATTTGTTAGATGTAGGGAAAATTATCAGAGTAATAAGGTGAGTACATCCTAGAAGCCATGCAGAGGGTCTAATGAACATTTAATTTCAAGTCACACCACTGCAGTAAGGAGTGGCTTATGAATACAGAAATACACCCAGAAGTGGTAGCACAAATGTAGAATCTGGGTTGCCCAAAATGTTTCATCTTGGTTGCTATCAGTGCAGCTTCTCTGAATTTTGAAGCCCTGCATCTATCAGAATCTGCCAACTTACCTGACATAACCTGGTATCTCATTACTGTGAATCTGTCTTAACCTCTGAGGCAAATTTTGTTCACTCTCCCCCAGACTGCTTATGGAATATTTTCCTCCTACTCAATCTCTCTCAAAACCCATCTCTGTTGATTCCTGATAGGGAATCAGCAGTGACACTTTTTAGCTTTTTTAATGCTTAAGCATTTTCAGAAAACTTTTTATTGGATTTTTATTGTTACTATATCCCATCTGCCCCTCTCCCCCTATTATTGACTTACATTTTTATTATATCTCCTGTGAAATTGAGTTGTATTATTCTCAGGGAAAAAATTAATATTACTTACATTTTCAAAGGTGCCTACCAGTAACATTTAATGATGTGAAAAATAAGCATTATTACTCTGGTCGATTAATACATGTTGATGATGATTTAAGGTGGCCCTGGTGAGTTTTACTGGTAACTGTCCTTATCTTGCAGATGAAAGCCTGAGTGTGCAGCATCAACAACAGAACACTGACTAGTTAATTTTATCAGGTTTTGATCATCTGTATAGTACACATGAAGGATATGCATGTTTGCCTAGACTATGTGTCAGCATGCTTTTTGGGAACAAATTAGTATGTGGTGCCTCATTTCCCCCTTTGTTCCTTTGTATTCAAGGGGCTTTTACCTTTCCTGTGAAAGACACTTGAGGAAATATACGCCTGCTGTGAAAGCCCAAATTATTTTACATTGCATCTGTACTGTCTGGTTCTGCAATATTCGTTTTGGAATTAAATCAGCTTCCCTGTGTCTCTACAAAGGAATTTATTTTTTTCAAAGAAGTTGATTCTTTTATTGTGTGCATTCTTGGCAAAAGTATGTGCATTGACTGTATTAGTTGATTTCCTATGTATAGTAAGGTTTCTTATTTTCATTACCAAAGAAAATGTCAGTTACCTGTGTAATGATTTGCAGAACTAGGTCCTCACCCAGAAAGATCTCACAGTCAAGAGAGGTAGGTGGAGTAAAGAAGTGGTGATTTATTATAGCAGTCCAGTATGTGCCAATACTGACCTGAGCAAAAGCAATATGGATGTAGTGTTAGAATAAATGGGGGGGAAGCACCAGTAAGTTAAAAAAATAATTGCAGTAGTGCCATCTAGTGTGCCAGGTGGTGCAGTTTTCTGGAGAGGGACAGTAAACTACTTTCATCCCATCCCACTTGTTACCTGACTCTCCTGCTGCTGCTCCCTTTTCAGTCTGCTGACAGGAGAGCAGTAACAGCATTGACAGAAGGTAGAGAAAGAGACCTGAAGGCTGTTTTGCAGATGCTGATTCTGGCACACATGCCATAAGGTTGTCATTGCTGCTCTAAAAAAATGAGCATCCACGGGGTTTTAAAGAAGGAGAAAGATAGCTGTTCTGTCTGTACTCCTATACAAATCTTGCTCATCTACTCATTGGTTTCCACTGCAAAACATGTAATGGCTAAAATATAATTTTTTTCAGCTACTGCAGGCACATTTTCTTGGTGTTGGAAGAGAAAAACAAATTTGATGCCAGAAAAGAAGAGGGACTCCTGGTTTTTGATGCTTACTGGTGGAAATTATTTTTTGCCTGGTGGCTAAAGGAATTATATTGAATAGAGGGTCCAGAAAGAACAAAGTTCTCTGTATGGGAGATGAGAAGCAAGTGAAGGGAAAGAGGGATCTGTTTAGCATATTAATTCTTTATATTAGGAGAAGCCCTTTTACTGTGACCACCCGAGTCTTTTCCACTGCTGCCTTTTCCACTTTCACTAGTAGCATACTGAACCTCTCTGCTTTAATCCCAAAATATGCAAAGTGCATGACTTACCCTTCAGTGTATGAAGCTGCACAGGGTTTATTTTTGTCTTCCATATAGAATCTGCTTGTAACAAGCGGAAGAGTGATCAAGCCAGGAAGTGTTGTCTGCAAACGAAACCAACATCTCCACAGCACACATAATGCTGTGTATTCACCTGTCTTCTGCAGCCAGTGCTGGAGATATTGCTTTTCCAGTTGGATTTGCTTGGGATGCAGCTACAGCAGCATATCAAATTGAAGGTGTCAATTTTTAGCTATCAAAGTGTTAAAGAAGTTTTATGTGAACAAAAAGTCTGGACCCTCGAAGGAGAGTGTTTGATCTTTGCTTTGTTATGTAGATACTACTGCTGATGCAAATCCATGTAGCATTTCTGTATAATCACTTCTGATTTGAGGAGTAAGAAGAAAGTAAAAGATATTTCAAATCTCAGAAATATGGCTAGGTAATGGAAATTGAGCTAGTTATTGGGGGGAGAGGGGTGGAGGGAGGAGGCAGCACTCATAAGTAATTTTTTCATCTACTTATTGTGTATATTGTTTCTGTAGAGCTAATTCAAGGAGGTTGCTATTGGCTATTTTGAAACTAGGTGGGAGAACTACCTAATCAGACACCAGTAATCACAAGAAGTCTTCAGTTAGCAACTCATCTCCGAAGATTATGAAAAACAATGAACTGAGATGTTAACAGTTGGACTTGTGGGGGCTGTCCCCCAGGGACGTGTGTCATGTTCCCACCGGAATAGAGGGACTGATGAAGGGATTTGCCCAGCACAATATGAAAATATGTCACAGATTAGGAAATGTAAACACATAAACACAGGGACATCTACAGCCATAACCCCTCCAAACTTTATCCTTTCATAAATCTGTCTTTATAAACCTTCAAAATACATATAGACCTGATTTTCTCATGTTATAGCCTGCAGCATACAGACACTTAACTCCCATTGATTTCAGTACCTAAATGGGAGTTGTAGATCCTAAATTGTCTTTGAGGATGTAGCCTTTAGTTCTTGGTTATTGCTGAAATTGAGAGTACTTGCCCATGCTCAGTACCTTTTAACGAGCTCAGTTCACTTCACCTAATAGACTGAACAGCTCACAGTTCCCAGGGAATCAATATTCTGGGCCAGATTCTAACTCCAGTCCTGCAATGCACACAGCTCTTCTAACTAATTTTTAGAATGTGAATTGTGTGTGCATTATAATTTCCTGCCTTTTGAGTGGCTAGATGTGCAACTCTAATGTTCTCTTAATGTATTTTTAATGAACTTTCTTAAGGCTTCTGAGTGGGGAAAACATAAAAAAAAAATCTATAATATGGTCTAGACACTACTCAAATGACCCTTTTCCTGCAGAAGTAAGAAACTCAACAGGGAATTCCTTCTCCTGAAAGCTTCAGAGGCTGTGCAGCTTCCGACTTAGAGGCAGAATGATTGAAGCAATAGTTCTTATAGAGTCCAAACTCAGTTGCTGTGCATATCACAAGATACACAGTGGAAGAGGCACGAGCTGACAGGCTACTTTATTTTTTACTGGCAGCTATGTATTTATGCACAGCACAACCTCCTCTACTCTGTATATTTCAAAGCGCTAAAAAATCATACCAATTGTACTCTGCATGCTCAAAGTGCAGATTTCAAAGGTTCATGACTCAGTCAAATCAAAATCAATTTGCACCAGAACATTCAAAAGCACTTCTTCTTACTGAGGGCCATTTCTATGCTAAATTCTAACTCTCTGCTTGATTTTTTTTCCTTCTTTTTTTATTTTTTTGGGGAAAAGTTGCAAAAAAATCCTTATGGTAAAAGTGGTTTTCTTCGCTTCTTTCATATGCCAAATAATGGAACTGCATTAATTCAAACAAAATTACACTTTTTGGTCAGAGATCAGGTCAAGAAATTTTCACTCCCAAAGGTTAAAGGACAACTGAATTAGAGGAAAAGTGTACTTGGAAAAGTACATGAAAACTTATATACTCTTATCAGTAATATTTCTGCGTAAGGAGCTTCACAAGTTGGAAAAGCATTACATTTATTTCTGTTGTAATAATTGCAGAGTATGAGAAACATGCATCGTAATAATTGCTATTATTCATTTGATGGCATGTCATGAGCTGATTTGGTGTCCAAATCACACCTAAGTATTCTGAGTGTAAAACCAGGTCCTCATCACTGTTCTTTCCTGGCCCCAAAGCTCACTAAAGCTCCAGTTATGCCTACACTATGGATTGCTGTGTGGCATGGAAGTTTCTGAGCAAGCTTAGAGGTGAAAGCTTGGGTCATGGAAGCAGAGCAGAGCTCTCTGCAGATTAATTGTGGCTCAGCAGGATGTGTTAGTGTATCTAGAGCTTTCTGTTGCCTCAGCTGGATTCCTTCCTACGCTCTATCAGGTGGCTCAGACGCATGATGTTGTACAGAGAAGTCTCTTTAAACAGTGTCAGGAATGCTTGAAAGTGGGTCTGATTGCTACAGCCCCTCAGTGGCTAATGACCACTGGACTAGTACTGTTAGACTCTGCTGAAAATCAAATGCTTCTCCTCCTCCCTCCCACTACCTTTGGTGGAGGAAGGCAGACAAAAAAGAGGGTTCATTCAGCCTCTGCTCTGGATGAGGATTCTTAACCAAAGGTGTATTAACTGCCTGTTATGGCAGCTTTTCATTCCCTGCGCTCCTGCTGCACTGAAAAAAGAGCGCTATCGAATCGATATGGTGCAGGAAGCCTGCTCTTAAAGGCTTCAAAACTCTAGGTACCATCAAAGAATTACTGTTATTTGTTATTTCCTGCACTTCTCTCAAATGACTATTTATTTCAGCAGTCATGTTTGAAATTTGAAGCAGGATATAGAAAACTTGTAGTATTGTATTTTTCTGAGGAGCATACAGACAGAGCTCCAAGTCTGAGATTAAGAACAACTCAAACTGTCTGGATCTAAAATTTGACCTACTTTGAAGGTTGTCCCATGTAAAATTTAATTTACTGACCAACCAAATGTAGATGTATGGGTGTTCGTGTGCTGCAATAAAGTTCTGTAAAGACCATGAAATGTGACAATGATCTCTGAAAAGCTAGGTTATAGAAGTGATATTACAGATTTTAGTAATGCTTTAAATTAATTGTCTTCAATATGCTTAACCTTGCATTAAACTTAGATTTAATAAGACAGATGTATATTAAGTACTGAATATACTTAAGGGAGCAATCTTGCATTGGCAGGGGATGGACTCAATGACCTCCTAATAGTTCTTCTCCATCTCTAATTTCTATGATACTAATTGATTATTAAAACACTTTTATTGAGGATTGATATGTAGCTATTATATAGTTATTAATCTTATAACCCAACTGATATTTAATTTATACATAATTTTAACACACAATGTCATTTTAGTTTTTAAAGAATAACCCTGGAACAGTGCATTCTTTGGGACTCTGAAAAATCTTGGTGGTAAATGAGGTTGGCCACTTTGAGGTTAATTGCAATTTAATGATTAAATCACACTTTACAAGGGTTTACAGAGGAAAGCAAGTTTACAGATCTCTCCACAAAAAAAAAAAAAGTAATGTTTGCCTCAGCTATAGCATGGCTCAGGAAAGACAAAGAAACCTCTAATGAAGAGAGGTGCATTTATTCAAATTAAATATTATATGTTGTTAGATCTCAGACAACAGCTAAACTTTGAATATTTTAATGGTAATCTGTGTATCTCAATTTTAGAATTGTGAAGAAATCCTAAAACTCTGAAAGTTTGGAGAAAATGGTGCAGTGCTTTTGAACATTCAAAATTAATTTCTGTGAATGTCTGGCTAAACAAAAAGCTGAAGTTTTTTAGAGCTGTGTTATTAATTCAGCTTGTATATGCCTAGGGCCATGGCTCATAATGGCATTCCTTTCTTTTTAACAAACTGTCAAGATTTTCAAAGGACATCCTGAAAGCCATAAGTGCCTATTTGTTGGATGTATTTCTCATACCCTAAAGGCTTTCTTTGATATGGACTGATCTTTTACATTTATGGATGGAAGTAGCATTAGAAAATGCCCTTTGTGAAAACCTGTAATATCTCAAGAGTGGCAAACATCTGATTTTTGGCTAAGGAAGTATGAAGAGTGTTAGAAGTCTGAATGTTTTTTTAAAACATAATTTTCAAATAATTAGCAGCAAGTAAAAATATGAATAAATGCAAATCCTAATGAAAAATGTATATTAATACTTGAAAGTTCCTAGTTACTTTAAATAATATCAGGAATGTGTAAAGAATACTTCTCAATTTGCCCATGAGATTTGCACCTACTTTGTGATAAATTATTTACTTGCAACATATGTCTTTTGATGTCAAAAGTGTAATGACCAAGTTTTGTTTTTCAAGCAGAAGGCTGGAATGCAGATGGAAAGGGCCCTAATGTCTGGGACATATTCACTCATCAGGGAGGAGATCGAGTTTTCAAGAACCAGACTGGTGATGTAGCTTGTGGCAGATACACTCTGTGGGAGGAAGATTTGAAATGTATCAAACAGCTTGGATTGACTCATTATTGCTTTTCTCTTTCCTGGTCACGTCTGTTACCTGATGGGACGACAGGTTTCATCAACCAGAAAGGCAATTGTTTCTTAAAAATAGAAGGTTGCAGCTTTAATTCAAGGTTATTGCTGCAGTCTGGCATAATTAATCCAGTATGCTATTCTGCAGTGTAGCTTTGAAATTGCAACTTTTTTTCAGAGTAATTATAGGATGATTTTTTATAGGTTTGCAACAACTTACTAATTAATATTCTAGATCCCCTTGGATAGCGCAATCTTTTGGGATAGGATTATTATTATGTTTCCTATGTATCTTTTTGCTTACTCCAGTTTTTTTAATTGTAACTCTAAATCATTTTGCTTCATCAGAATGTTTATACTTACTGGGATACTAGCCATGAGAATATTTTTGGATGGCTTACAATAGACAAGTTATCTCATTTGGCAAGTGCATTTAGATAGCTTATCAGTATACTCCAATGTGCTGAACTTCACATTGACTATTTTGCACTAAGGGACATACTTTTCCCAGACATTTTTCTTTAGCATATTAGAGAGGATTCTTCAGACTGATAGGAACTATGTTTAGTTCTCTGGCAAACAGGAGCTCTTAAGGAAGTTTTCACAGTCTCAGCAGGCAGTGTATATATGTAAAGGGATACAGCACATAAGTAAACTGGTCAGATTGCTAGAAGTCAGATATAAAATTTGTTTCACTTCTGATTATTTTAATTCCATCAGTGTGGTCTGGGGGAGAGCTTAAGGTCACTCACTAGGAGAAGACAGGAAAGGGCAGTTGTGATTACAGAACAAAGGGAATGGAAGAAAGATGAAATAAAGAGAATTGTGAAGAATAAAAGCAACTGAAGCTGAACCAGAAACAATGGGAGAATCAAAGAAGCTGGCTGAGATTTCTTGTATGCTGGGAGGATAATGTGCCAAGGAGAAAAAAAGAAAAGTATATTTGAATGAACTTCTGAATCTCGATTCTGCTTCCTACTCTTCTGCATCTCAGTTCAACCAAGAAGATATATCTTTATACTTCTAGGGCAGTATTTGCCTTGGCAAATTGAAGACTACAAAGATGGAAGGCTGCAAAGGACAGGACTTCTTAGAAAATACCCTTCAGGTTATCCTTATCTGTACTAGGGTGGTACCGGCAGAAGCAATCTTTTTCCGCAGAATTTTGGTCATGTAGAGTTTGGCTGTTCAGTAGATAGCAGCCTATCCTCTGCATCCTGCAGATCAAGGTTTTCACCAGAGAGCGGAGGAGCCTTTGTTTCAAGATTTCAGAAAAGAGAGGATGGTAAATCTGCTGTAAACAGACCAACCAGCCATTTTCCCCTGCAGAGCATGCCAGATACATATGCCAGTATCCCAGAGAGGCTTGAATTGAAGATTTTTCTTTGCTACCAAAATTTACAATACGTGGCCCACTTTCACTGGCACAGCTTGTGTTTCCCTCGGAATGCTTTTTGTGGTGTGTTGAATTTAAATTTGGCCGAGTAGTTGTGGTTTCTTTCCTGTACTGATATTCCTTTAGCTAGGGCTGCAGGCACTGTAAAACCTCAGCAAGCTGCCTGCTGAATGGGCTTTGTTATTTAGTTGTCAGAGTGGGAGATAGCAAGCAGACATTCTGAATGCACTTGGTAAGGAAAGCTAACATTTTGACAAAACTCAGGTGTAATTTCAGAAGATGTTCACTTGATCCCCAGTATAAGCAGTTGCCTGATTAATATTATGAACTTTACATTTAACGAAAGGGCATTGGCAGAACTCCAAGTAGGCCAACTTTCATTAGGCAGGAGTTCACTTCTCCTGTGCAGTGATCTGTTGAAGCAATTGTAACTGCATAGCATGGAAAGGCCATCATCTTCTATATAAACATTTTTGCAAAGAGCATGTGAAGAATTAGAAAGCTTAAAGCGATGTCCTTTCAAATAAAATCATTCACAGCAACAGATTCACTACCAATTTCACACCTAAGATGTAGGACATTTGAAAACCTTTAAAATTATTCTGTTTCTGACTTGGTGGAGGTAGGGTCTTTTAAAGCAATGATGTTTTAGATGTATTGTTCCTAAGATGTGTCAGGTTTTAGCTTAAAGCTTACAATTATTTTTACCCTAGAAGGTGCCCTGAGAAGAACAAGTGAGCTGCTAAACATTAGGTGTCAGTGCAGAAGAAGACAGAAGTTGTAGGCAAGGGGATATTGAGTCTGTGAGAATTTGATGTTGTGCCTCACTTCAGCATGAAGGCAGGGAATCAGAATGGGGAAAGAAGGTGATAGAAAGGAGAAAAGGACAATCCTTCACTTTCTACTGCCCATCTGCTCCTTAATATCTGGAACCTCAAAATTTTGGGGTTTCTCCACAAAACCCTTATATACACACTTCCTCAGAAGAATGTTTTCTTCTGTATTTCTGCTTCTACTTGACTCACAGATACATCCAGAGAAACTAAGTCAGCCTACTCTGGAAAGTATGAGACAACCTGGAAATTTGACTTGACATTCACATTTTTCGGGCACGCAGTTCTATTTCTCTTCATTTTCTAACAAAAAGCATAAATCTTTTCCAATATTTAATTGAGATGTAAAGAATAAATGATAGCTGGTTGCACTTAGATGTTATAAATTGTACTGTATAATTCATAATCTGAAAATTAGGATGAGAAATTCTAGTGTCTTCTACATAGGGGTTGAATATGAGAGGACAGGATCCCATAGCAGCAAAGGAGCTCTTTTTTCCCAGTTTAAGCTTATGTAGTAAACCTTGTAGTCTCATCATCAAAGAGTTAGTACACACCCAGTCCCTCTGAAGACAAATAGAAGCCCAAAAGATATATTTGCTGCTAATTGCTATTGCAAAATGCAAGAATTTGCTTTTCAAAATTTAAGTTCTAGTATATTCCTTTCTCTTTTCCATGGGTGCATTCTCAGGCACAGGCACAGGCACGTAACTCCTCTGCATTTAATGAGTTTTTCTGGTGCTGTATTCAGAAGGAAAAGCAAACTACATCTGAGATTTATTGTGAATTACTGTGTAAACAATCTTATTGAGTCTTGCTGTGCTAAGGGATGTGTATGCACCTGTTTGTTCAGGAGAAGTCACTGTCTAAATCTGGGGTTCATAATTGATTGCTGCAGTAAATGTTGTCTTAAAAAAGCTATTTGGCAGGAATCCCTAAGATCAGTCATTTGAAGTTGGGTTAAGTTGGAGTCTAATACTGTCCTTTTAAGAAGAAGATAGTATGGCATTCTGTGTTGGCATTTTCAAACATCAATACACAGTAAGCTGAACGTGAAAATACCAAGGAATATATAATAGAAGTATAGAACAAATTTCCTGCTTTGGATTAAACAAAATCTTCTGGTTCAGAAACTGTTAAGAATAATGATCTAAGCCATACATAACCTCCTAAGCATACCTTTTATTAACCTTTGCAATTTAGTCTTCACCCTCCTACTTTTTGTTGTGTTTTCTACTTCTGTAGACATTTCCCAGTTCTATATTTCAATACAGCAATATTGGGATAGATATTTCACAGGCATCTATGTCTTATTAAGGATATGTGGTAGTCTAAGACCCACAACAATTTTATGAAATTTAGGTTTCTGAGGTTATTAAACACTTTGGTATATTTAGTTCAAGTCTCTGAAGCAAAGACTGCCTGATTTCTGCATTCCACCAGCATGAGAGAGACCTATTCCTGTCTGGAGCCACTTAGCTTAGCAAATAATAATTCAAGGCCACTGTTGGCCTTTTCCAATTACTGCAGTAAACCAGATAGTTCAAGTAAAAGAGCAAGCTAATTGATACTCTTTGAACCAGAGCTTATGATGTGTATTTCAATATCTAGTGTTTTCAGAAGGTTTAAAAGCAATACTGTTGTGTTTGCATGTAAGCAAAATTAAAAATGCCTATTTGAGAGCTTAAAGTACCCTGATATTTAAACTTACAGTGACCTCTCAGCAATGTAAAAATTGTCCTATAGGAAACATATTCATGTCAGCCACTGCTAAATCTGTGCAGAAGGTGAATTCCTTTTAAGCCTCTAGAAATACATCCCCAGTACTGACCAGCTTTAACAACACATCCAGGAAATTAAAGTTGATCTCTGTCTTAGCAAGAGGGGACAAGAAAGGTTAGAAGTCATGAGCTTTTAGAGAGGTCAGCTAATTCCTTCTTGCAGTTAGAAGGACTGAGCAGTCTGCAGCAGTGGCAGTGTAAAAGCGTAAGAGATGGTTTCTCGGATAGCCTATTGTCAAGCCATTCAGGTTGGTGGCTAAAGAGACCAGTGCCTCAAACTCTTTCTAAAATCTCATAGAAGCCAATGAAAAGCCTTAAATATAATATAGATCTAATGAGTGAAATGTTGAATTCACACCACTGTAAAATGTTGAATACACTGACAGTGTCTTTGTCCTGATGCTGGCACAGTGATGGAGAATGGAACATTTTGGAGGAAACAGCTAATCCAGCTAACCAAGTTCAAAACATAAAAGATCAGCTTAGTTACCTTGCTGAGTGTGGCACTGAAGTTTTTAAAAGACACAGTTCTCAAGGAGAAAAATGCTTTCATTAGAAAAAGTCTACCTGGAAGGCTCTCAAGCATCAGGCTTTTTCCAACACGCTTGTATCTTGCACATGCAGTCAGGCTGCCATTCAGGCATTTAAATGAAAGGATTATATTTTCATGTGACCAGCACCCATCAGAATTATGTTTTTCCTGGGGAGTTGCTGTCCACTGATCTATTTTGAAAATTTGCATCCTCATTTCATTTTATGTGCCTGGTTGGAAGATTTTGTGTACTGAGCATTTTTGCCAACTCTGGGGTCTTGTAACAGTACTCAGCATGCACTTGAGAAAAAATATTTGCATCTCATAATAGAAAAAATGTGCAGTGAGGTTGCTTCAAGTGTTAAAATGTAGCAAAATTATTATTAACCCTTTTTTTCCTTTAATATTTTCAGCAGCCAATTCTTACTGAAAAACTATTATGGACCTGGGAAATGGCATCCTACTCCCTGTATCAGTTTGGTTTGCCTTAATCCTTAAAAAACAGAGGTGACTGGAAATCTGAAAGTATCATTGACACCACCAATATTCATGTAAATTATTACTTCAGAACATTTGGAGATTGGGTGATCGTTACTACATGGGCCTTATGTTGCTTTAGGTGGTTGTTTAAAAGGTGTAGCCCCAGTACTGGTACCAGAACTTACAAGACAGTTTTAATGTGTAAAAACTACTGCTAAACCCTGATGCAGTTGTGGTAACATTTGAAGAAAACATTGTGGACTTGTGTCTAGAGCTCAGATTGATAGAACCTCTATGAATTCTACAGAAGATTTTTTAGGAGCCCATCTGAATGGCATAAGATATTGTACAAGATATAAATAAACAAGTCACCCTGGGATTTGTAATTTAATTTTTTCATGCTGGCTATAGAGAGTAGGAGCCTTGTGTTTTCCTATTACCTTTTTACTTGATATCTGTTTTACTATTTGAAATGACACACCAGTGTTTTATCATCTTTTGAACTCCAGAAATTATCTTTGTGATGCTAGCAGTAAGGCTTTCCTGGCATACTCTACTCCTGGCAAGGAGACGTGTGGTGACTGCCAGTACCAAGGGTTAAGGAGCAGTGACAATAAGCAGATGCTAATGCAGGAAAGATATTTTAGTCTTCTCATTAAAATAAGTCATTTCACTGTCTTCATGGGTATTTGCACAGTTTTGCTTTTCCATTGTTAGTCATAAAAGGTCACTTCATGGAAAATTAAGTTAATAGGGTCAGTGCAATTTGATGAAAACTAGTTTTAGTTTGTAGCTTAGAAAAGATAGAGGGTAATGCATCTGATTTTATGGGCTTTCTTACATCTTTCTGAATAAAACTTTTGCTCTCTCTTGTTCTAGGATACATATAATAACTCTATAATTTACATCACTGTGAATGGGTTTTTACAAAGTGACCCTGCTCTATTTGATGCCAGTCAATGATGGGAGTATTTCAGACTGATTTTACAGAAAATTTTAAAAGTTAACAGTTAAAATTATGAAAGATCATTTGTGCAAACCTAATATGATTTTATTCTGTGCTTATTTGTATTCAGCAATGACCGATGATTCTTGAAGCTAAAACTTATGTAAATCAAAGTAAAGTGATGTGATTTGAAAAAAATGTTTAGCTGAAAGGAAAACAAATTGATTTAATCTTAGTGTGAAAGCAAAAGAAAAGGTGCTCTATATAGTCAAAGTAAAGTGATGTGATTTGAAAAAAATGTTTAGCTGAAAGGAAAAAAAAATAGATTTAATCTTAGTGTGAAAACAAAAGAAAAGGTGCTCTATATATACATTGTCCCTAACTTATTTTGTAAGTTCAAAGTTCTTTGTTGAGCAGAGCAACCATGTTAAAAAGTGCTTATCATTAATGCTTCTTATTGTGCAGGATGTAAAGTTGAGTGCACCTAAAAATCTGACCATTGCATCTCATTATATCCTTACGGAATACAACCTCACACACACAGTGAGGTCTGTGTAACAGCTAATTCCTCTATACAGTCATTAAGTCATTATAACAGCTTCTGCCTCTGTGTTGAGGTGGTCAAAACGGTTCAACAATGGCAAAGCTCTGTTTTTATGCTTTACCTATAGTTTTTGTTTTGGCCCCATTTCCAACCTTCTGGAAATTCCTTCCTTACCTCTTTTCTTTTGGTAGTATTCTCTATAGTAATTTACTGGAAGTAAATTGCATTTCACTATGTAGCAAGGGAAATGCATTTTAAGATGTCAGTTCATTTAGATAAGAGCTAGTATCTTTATTGTATTTGTCCAAAGTGATCACAGTCCTCAAAGTCATATCACAGTTCAGTAATAATTTTTTGTGGCCACTTTTACATTGTCATGCTTAATTTTTACTTTTGTTGTTTGAATTCTTTATTTTATCCTTACTTTTTTTTCAAAAACAGTTTCACTTAAAAGCTGTCTTTCTGTCTTCTTCCTTTTAATTTAGAGTTGCAATTATGCAAAAATCCATGCCAACTACCTCTTTTTCTACAACTAAGTAGAAGATGCACAGGACCTTTTTCCATCACTGAAACCAGTTGATAGGTTCTCTTTCTATCAGAAGCAGACGGTCATCTACCAGCTGTCTTTGAAGAGCACCTCCTGGGCTGCTCCATATCTGACCCCAAGCCATGTCTGGAAGCTAGTTGGCATTGGACAACAGTGTTATCAATGAGCATTGTTTGCTTTTAGGTTTGTAGACAAGATATCTGGATTTGACTTTCTCTGAAGATGCAAAGAAATTAAGAAACAGAATTCTCACTGTTCAATGAAATGGAATTCATTTACCAAATCTAGTTGTTTTGACAATGTTTTACAATATACAATGACTTTTCCTGAAGTAAATATTTGGTGTAGGTCTGATGAATCCCACTGTAATGCATTTCTTGACACAGTTCTCTTTATGCATAGTAACAAATAAATGGGACTAGCTTGAAGGTAGATGCTTATTGGAAGACATCAAGAGTTGAGTAAAATTTGCCTTTACCATTTTTTCAGTCCAAAAATACTTTTAAATGTGTATGTGGTCTGAGTCTAATCAGTGCAACCTTGCACAGGTTTAGTTATATATGCAGGTTGACATTGAGTTTATCATTTTATCCAGTAAAATAGCATGGTGGAATGCTGGCAGAAATGGGTCCCTCAGTATGAAGATAATATAGCTCTTAAAGCCATCAGCTGCAGGCACTCTATGAAGAAATGTCAGTAACATTATCCCCATGTGACTTTGTGCCCACTACTCTGAGTGAACAGTTTGTCAAGGCCACTCCACATGTAATGACCCACGAATGAACAATCCATTTCAAGTTTTCAGCTCAGATTGATGCAAAGCAGATTACTTAAAGATGTTCACTTTATTCAGTGCTTAAATTCTTAACCATTTATTAAGTGTTACATGAAGCATAACAGTTTAATTGCTTTGCATACAGTGTCTACTCTGTGATAATTCCTTATCTTTTGAGCTAAATTTTGAAATTATTAGTACAGACTCATTCATGCAAGGGCCTTTGAGTCATGACAGGAGACTGTGCAGATTCTGCTGTGGGACTTAAACATTTACTTTTTGACTAACAAAGAAATAAATATGCTTGACTACAAAGGAGAGTGTACCTAAAGTTTGTTACTGCAGTTGTTATTAGAAATATTTTAGTATGTTGTAATTAGATTGATAGTATCACCATTTTTTTTTTAATTAAAACCCTTCCTAACTTTTGAGATATGTATTTACACTCGTTATCTTAGTTTTGTCATCCAAAACTTTCAAAATAATAAGGATCTTCCATTTTCAAGATCTTGTGTTTTGGAAAGAGTTATGCTCCAATACTCTGAAAATCAGAGCACTTCAGTGCCTCTCAAGCTACATGTCCCAAATTCCTAAAATTTTTGCTGTCATCAGGACCATTTAAATTACACTATTTGGGAGGGCAGGAGCAGTCCTGAATTGGTAAATCAATAATGTCAGAGAAAATAGAGATTTTTTAATTTTTTAGTTTGTTAAAAAGACCAGAATGAGCAATGTAAATATGAAGTAGGAAATAGAGAGCAGCATGCAGCTGCTATAAATCATATCATTGCTATTATAAATGTGTACAGCTGCTGCCATGTTGCTTCTGCAATATATGAATAGATAAAACATCAATATTTTAAGAAATGTGGATATACATATTTAGCACCTCAACAGAGCCATAAGCATGCATGGTGCTTTACAGATAAATGAAAGTGATGTCTTCTTACCCCAAGGAACTGAAAATCTAATTTAGATACAATGCATGAAGAGATGACGAACAAAAATCTGGATGAGAGGTAAAAAGAGAACATGGGTCAGAGTAGTCAAATGCTTTTTACTACAGTTGCTCTTTCTTAATTTTATGTAATGTATGTTAAGGATGACATCTGGGCCAAAGATCAAGGCTGCCAAAAAAGAAAAAAATGTATTTGAAAGTACTTAGTTTTGAAAAGTGGAGCCTTCTAAGAAAGATAATATAGGTTTATAAAGTCTGTAGAGGAGAGCAGTGCAAATATGGGTAAACTATTGCCAGCTGATGGAGAAGGGCAATGAAGGTATTCCATAGTCTGGCTGGTAAAAGATTACTAATAATGCTGATGGGGAGGAAAATATGAATTAAATTAATTTTAGGTTGCAGAGTGCTGTAAGAAGTAGGTCCTAGAAGTTAGTAGAAATAGAAAGTAAAGAAATTGAGGATGATGTGATGTGATATGAGCAGAGGCAAATAAGAGGGAGATGAGCAAGAATAAATGTGAACAAGCAGGACTAGATTTGAAAGTAAATAGGAAACATATGAACATTTAATTTGGATTCAGCTAGGAGGTCAGCAGTAAAAGATGCAGGGCAAAAAGGAGAAATGATTGTGAGGAGAAAAAGATGGGTAAAGCTTAAGATTTAGATGGTGTTAATTTTCTCCTTAAATATGCTTGAATGAAGCAGAAGAGAAAATGAGATACAGAGAATGCTGACTGCAATGGGAAGTGCAGAGCAGAACTAGAACTGACAGTAAGCAAGGTGATGCAGTTAAGATTTTAAAAATTGAACTTTAAGTTAAATGCAGTCCCTCCTGGATAGCTTTTTGTGTCCTTTTCCCCTCAGATTTCTAAGAATTGTTATAAACCCTTTTATTTATTGTTGTCACTGTACACTCCAACCTTGCTCTCATGAACTAACCATTTAGTCTGTGTTGTAGATACGTACAAGCCTGCTTTTGCTGCATTCCCTTGCACATAAAACACTGAGGTTATAATGCAATACTCTAGTCCATGAAAATATGATTTATTGTTAAATTAAATATGAATGTCATAATGTGAGCCCCTTGGGTCAACTATAAGCTTGAATGTTATTGAAAGAGCTGCAGCAGCAGCTCTGTTTCTTCATTGCTGCTGACAAAAATGCCTCTACAAATAGAATACAACAATGCAGACATATTAAGGAGTCTCTGAGATGTGCTGTCCCTGGCATAACATTGCCATGTGACATTTTCAAGAACTATAAATACATTGACTGCATTATAGTGTAAAAGTTAAGAAGCTTTGCAGTAGTCACTGCAGAAGCATTAAAATCAAGCTGAATTTGTTGTGAATACCATGAGGAATTCAAAGCTTTTAGAAACACAAACCAACACAAACAAAATGAACAACAGAGAAACTCCTAAAATCACAAAGATATAACTGGGATAGTACAATATTTGTATCAGTTTTTAGTGTAATTTTAAAAAGTCCAGAAGACACAAGTATAATTCCATACAGTTCCAGTTAAATGCCAGTATCATAAGTCCCCATTGTGACAAAAGCAGATATAATTTCTTAGAAAAAGTATCTGAGACAGTTTTGACAATAGAAGTTACAGTTACCACTTTGTAGAAATATTTGCTTGTTAGCCAAAGTTTATACATCATTTTTTCCACATTAATCCTTTAATCTGAGTGGTTTAACCCATGAAAATGAGCTTTTCTTTTGTTTTTTAACTCTTAACCAGCAGTTTTGCAGGGCAAAATTATGAAAGAACATTTTCTTTTTCAAAAATGTCCTGTAATCTGCCAAAACTTTCTTCAGTGAAAAAATACCCCACAGTTGTGAGCTTGTGAGTTCGTGTTGGGAAAGTTTCTACTGGAACTAGGGTAAGAGAAGCCTGGCCAGTGCAACAACAGAAGAGGATCTCTGAAACAAAGATATGTGAGTGAATTTCTTCATTGCCACTCTCTTGATTTTGATTTAAAAAAAAACAAAAAAAACAACTAAAAGACAGATTTATGCATTAGCCGCTAAACGTCTCTGGATTGATCAGCTTGCCCCGGGGGAAAGGACTGTAATACACAGGGGTTTTGTGTGCAGTGTTAGAAAGAGAGCTAGACTGAGTGGTGCAGCAGCTTGTTCAAGTTTTGGAGAACTGGGATCTAGCCAGTATTTCACATCCTCACACAGAACCTGGGATGTGCTTTGATTCAGAAGTAACCAGCCCCCAGTGAATGTTAGTTTTCAAAAGCATTAGCAACTGCAGAGCAAGAATAGCTCCTGCTCTGTAGAGGAGATCCAGTGTAGGAGGCTTTAGTTCCCTCC